CCTGAAAAGAGGTTTATGACTTTGCCAAAAAACCATTTTGGATTCATTAGCAGTTAGTTGAAATAACAGATTCCGTGACATTGCCAGTTCCTGCCAAATGTATGTCAGGTGCCAAATGTACAAGACCCTTATGTTTATACAGACACTTGTGAGAATGTTAGAACCTTTCATTGAGACCCAATCTTGTATGTGAACCTAGTCTTAGATACATATGGGAATCTGCAAAATAAAATTCATAGTTGCCTTCTCTTTAATCCTAAAGAGAATCCTAATCTCTTTAATCCTAAACTTGTAATACTGAGAATCCTTTCCTAACAATACATAATGTGAGGCTCGAATTGGGTTTCGAAATGTTTAAAAAAGTAAATTGGTTTGCTTTTTTTTTTTAAACAAAGTGTTTAAAATTGGCAAGGGGCAAATAACTTTGTCTTCAGCTATGTATGTGAAAAGTAATCTTTCTCCCAGTAATCTTTTAGCACTTAAAAACAATGTCTTTAAACCATTTTATATTTAGCTTTGTAACCTATCTTTAGCAACTAAAGTCAGAGTATAGTACATTCTGTGGACAAAGCTGACTGCTTAAAAAAAATTAAGTTTAGAGATATATAACTTTAAAGTATGCTTATATCAACCTAATTGTCCTTTATTTTGGCTCATCTAATTTACAAACATGATTTCTGAAGTTAAACAGTATTTGTAATGGCAATGTCCAAAGCAATTTTGGCTGAGTGAAGTGCTATTTGTTGAACAAAAATGTAGTTGTTTGTGCAAGTTTAAACATTTCATAAGGCCAGCTGAGTTCCTTTCAACCTACTTACAAAATAATTATTGGCAAATGAAATGGGCTGAGGGGTAGAGACAAGACATTTCAAGCTTCTGAGATTTATAAAACCAAATTCTTCAGCCATCAAAAGTAAAATCAAAAGGTCACAGACAATTAAAAGGTACAGGTTTAAATCTCAGGATTAAAAAAAGTTCCGACAAGAAGAATATTTACAATGGAACAATGAGGAAAATGTTTCATTACAGTCAGAAACACGGAAAATATGCTGTTGAAAATTGTTGGCTCTGAAATAAATAAAATCCAGACTGAGACTATTGAAAATATCAAAGTGATCTATGTGCCAACTCTATCTTGTTCTGTTGTTATAAAGATAATCCATTATTGAATATAATGCTGTTCTGGTTAACTTATCAAAGACATTTTCCACTTGCAAGCTGTTGTTTACCATATGCTATATATTCTTCTCTTAACAATTTTAGTACACTTCCATCAGAGAACCATAGGCAGAGAGAGAAGGATATTGAAACATATTTTAACTCCCTAACCAGGGTACAAATCCCTTCCAACCTAGTCATTAGACTCGCTCATAATTGATGCTCAGTAGAACTGAGGTTTTTTTTTTTGGATGGCAAAATAATAGATTAAAAAATACTTGGGAGATGTTTGTAGCCTGTTAGGTGAAAGAAAGCATTCTTGTGCGCTGGCTGCCTAGACTGAAACCCGTTAGTGATGGAGCTCACCACCTTGCAAGGAAACCCATTCTCTCAATGGGTAGCTTGACAATTAGGAAGGTATGTACTAAACTGAGCTTTGTACCAACAGACCCTGGATTTGTCTTTTAGAATATTCCTACTCCATCTTCATTAGCTTAGTTTTCTGAAGCTTACTTTTCTGTGTCCTGTATGGTTTCTTCTCCATGTGGCAATCTCATTTCACCTCTATTTCTACTATCCTTTAATGCCGTAAGGGGTTTTAAAAATTCGTATTGATTGAATGAGCTTAACTATTAAATATTAAATTTTGCCCTTAAAACAGCATTTTCAAATGATGATATTCAGAAAACAAGAGTTATAGCATTCAATTGGATTCAATTTGCAATTACCCCTTTGTAATTAGACTAGCGTTGACTAACAACAGATATTTAGGGGAGAAAATAGGATAGAACATCTAATCTTGCCAACACTGTGTATATTTGAGGGGAGGGGGCATGATAAATTTTTATAATGAAATGCATGTGCTCTAAGACAATGAACTTGGTGTTTTAAAGTACTGAGGTCTAGTAATTTAAAAGCCATGGGATTAATTTTAGGTCATGTTTTAGAAATAATGTTACAATCTAAGCATCTTGTTGGTAAGAAATAACTGCTGTCCTGAATGAATAAAACAAGGGACTGACTCAAATACGTTAAATTTTTTTCTAGTGGTTATATATTTGGCACCTTTAGAGGAGCTCTAACTAACACATCCAGGATAATTTCATTTCAGGAGACTTTGTGAAGTCTCCAGAATGGCGCCTCCACTCCCACATCCATGCAAGAACACAAAGCCGAGGGGTACAACTAAAAAAAGAGACTGTTTTATTGTGACATTTATGACATGGACCCCTTATTGACAGGAATGACCGAGGGTAGTCTTGGCATATTGCACAGGTGTGATGAAGGATGCACTGGTGATCCTCTGGCTGCTGAGGCTGCTTCCTGGTCCTTCCAGACCTCCGTGCACGCGTGGGCCAGTCACAGAAATTTCCTTACCACTTGGTGTATACATTTAAGAAGTCTTTGGTCTTAATAAGCACCATTACAAACCCTCACATTAAGGGCATTATTATTCTAGTTTATAAATGTTTCAATGATAAAAAATAGCACGATTACAGTATACACACACTTAATTTACATGTAAGGTATTATACTCATAACTGAGATAAGCTACTGCACTAACTTTGGTTGATTGAAAAAAATTAATGAAGTATTTGAACTGAATACTTGTAATTTGGTTTCTAAGTTGTGTAAATATTACAGTGCATTTATAAATCTAGTTTGAGAATTTACTAGCACCAAATAGATATTATAAATGGCCAACCTAATACTTGCATTTGGAGAAGCAAAGTTTTACAATTTGAAAAAACAGAACAGTCCATCGATTGAAAGCACATTCCGGTACGTCTGCTAGAAGGATGGCATGTCAGCATGAATGGCCAACCCCCAGTGGAAATACATGTCCCAGTTTTCAAGAATCAACACATATGACAAGGTAGCTTAGCTACATACATGAGAAGCCTGAGAAAGTGGTTGTTTTGAACTAGGGTAGTCACCTGTACCTTGCTTTTGTAATACAAGAATAGTGCTTATTTATAGAAATTTATGTGGTGAAAGACTGTACCTATAATATGAAGATTCTGATTGGGGGAAAAATTCAGTTCTACCTATCTATCTTGGTTTTTTAATTATTTGGTCTCTGGATGGTGAATTAATGAAGCAAAATCTGAATTTTCATCTTCAGATTATCACCCAGTTCACCACTGAGGTAGTCTTTGTCATATTTATCTTCTAGCTGATTAAGTTCTTTCTTTTTATAAAGTGGAGTACTACTGATTTGTAATGAATAGGTTCCAGCCACTGGCTTCTTCTTTGTGAAGTGGAGGTAGCTGATCCCTTCCTTTTGGTTGATTTTAAAGAAGCCGTTTTCATTTCCAGATTCAATCAAGTATCTGTTGTGATTCGTCAGAGTCGTGAGGGCCGGAAGGAGTTCTAGGATTCGGACCTTGTTACTGATGTGGGAAATATTGAAAGCGAACATGGCTGTCTTCTCAACATCCCAACTTGCAAGACTCACATTGGCTTCTATCTCAGGTTGATCCTGGAAAGACAATGTGTGAATGTAAAAGGTAAATATGCCACTTACTAAAGAAAAAGTGACTCAAGTCTCACTCAGATACAACTTTCTTCTCATGTTGCATATACTCTGTTGAAAATGAATATTCATAAAATACTGTTTAAGCCACAACTGTTACATTAGCACATATTTATCATACTAAACATGCCACGAAGGAAGCGGAAATCACTTGTATTTGGTCTTCTATTACAGTGGGTCTCAAAGTGTCCCCCAGCCAACAGCATCAGCATCATCTGGGCATCTGTTAGAGATGGAAGTTCTTGGTGCCACCCGAGACCTACTGAATCCAAAACCCTGGGGATATTTCCCAGAAATCCATTTTAACAGGTCTTCCAGATGATTCAGATGCATACTCAAGTTTGAGAATGACTGTTTTCATATATTATTTTCTTTCCAAAGACTTATCTCATTTCCCAAACCACAACGGATGGGTTGCAGCACCAGTGCTAAGAAAGAACCAGTTTATTTCCATTTTGTTCACTGACGCAAAACCATCTCACCAAAGGACACAACTATGAACCTACTTCCTGGCTCTGATGATCTGCTAATATTCAATGCTTTTCACCTGGCTTCTTGCTTGCCTCTCTGGGACCACATGTGCTGGTTCTCCGGGCCCGCAGCCAGAGGTCTGAGTATCTGCATTTCTGAGTTGACTGAAAGGCTGCAGCAGCCGTGGGCAAAGAAAACCAGGCTGCTTGAGCTCCATGTTGTTTTTGTCTAGAATCCAAGTTCCCTCACACTCCACATGGCTCTTTCGGTAGAGAAGCCTCTAGCTTTCAGAACTTGGCATCCTTGTGTACGGAGCACTATGTCACTTCACTACCCTGCCCACTTGCTCTCCTGGATCTCAGACCTTGTCCTTTCATCAGACTTTGGGCGGGTGTTTAACTTTCTTTTTGGCGAGACAGAGGAAATGAGCAAGTATGTGAATACCTTTGAATGGCCACTCCCTAAAAGCAGCAAGAAACTCCAGAGAGCCCCACAGACTTGTAAAATGCAGCCTAGAGCTCAGGGAATGTCTGGATTTTCTCCCTAGGGAGCGTTTTCATACTGTGGAGCATCCTTGGAGGAAAGCACAGGAACCTGGAGGGCCTTCCTGCAGTAGGAGGCCCCAGGAGAAACCACCTTCTCACCCACCTCAATGTTGGAGGCGTCTGTTTCATTTGCGCTCCTCCGCTTCCTGCCGCGTTTGGGGTAGCCGTTGATCTTGCACTCATAACAAGCCTCTGGGGAGAGTGAGTTGTCATCCATTTCACTGCTGGCAGGTGGCTCTGGGTTTCCCCGGCCCATGCCCATTCCAGAAACACAGTGCCTGTGGTGGAAGGGGCGTGGAGATAGTTTTCATTACAATTGGGAGATGGAGGAGGAGCAAGAGTTCTGGTGAAGCCCGGATCCTGCCTGGTGACATTCAGCCCTTGCTTACATGTCCACTGGATGATGGGCTGGTGCTGAGAACCACACTGAAGCCCTCTGTGTTTGGTCTTGAATTCTCAGTTCCCTGAGTTGATTGATTTCTTTTTACTGTCTCTCAAGGCCCTATTTTGCATATTTACTTGCCCCTTTATTTCCCAAACATAATGTGGCAGGTGTTTTGCCGAACTGGTGGAGAGGAGACAAGGAGTGTGGAAACAAGAGAAGAGCGGAAGATGAGGGGGAGACCATGTGACTTGGGGGGCTGAATAAAAATTGCCTTCTTCTTATAAAATAGGCTCCACAGGAGCGAGAAAGGTATGTGACGTCAGTGTTCAGTTCCTTGCCCTCTTCCTGTTTAACTGATACCATTACAGCCACCTCCAATTCCACCAGCACCACCTTTCACCACTCCAGCTTCTCAGCAATCTCTCCTATTATCAGACCTCTCACTTTGGCTCCTGAAGATAGAAAGAAAGTTCTAGGTAATAACTTAGGTTGATTTGGAAATATATTGTGAAGATATGCAGTGTATTAAATACATGTATCAGAGCTTGCCCAACTGTGGGAACTTGTTTCAAGTCATTCAAAACCACTAGGTCCACTGGCTCTGACTAATGTGAGGCTGGATAAACAAACCCATGCCCAAGAGAGAACTAGTTCAGCTGTTTTTCTTTGCCTTTCAGTTTTTAAAGCCAAGTTATGGAAGGAGGCTTGCATGTCTCACAAGTACCTTGTTTTGTTATTCTGCTTACTATTTCATAGGTCATTTGGAATGTATTTATCAGGCTCCTCTTTCAAAATGTTTTGAAATATCTGAATGATCTTAAAAGAATCTATATTAGGATAGGGTTGTCCACTCTAGTGATTCACAGAGGAGCCCAAACTGTTATAAATGGGTGAATTTCTATTAATGGGTCTACTAATAGGTCATAATGTAGGCTAAATACTATCTATTTCTCTCGTATTAGTTGATCTGTTTTTTATAACTCATTTTCCTTTATGCCCTTAAGATTCAAACTACAATGCCATTAACATTTTTTTTTTTAATTTTGCAGCAATTTATAGGTTTCTAGTATTTTCTGAAGGCTTCCCTGGTGGCTCAGAGGGTAAAGGAATCCTGCTGAGCACAACACATTTCCTTTCCTCATCCTTTAATTTTGTACCATGAAATGTGTAGAAATAATATGGATGAAATGATAAGTGCTCATTCTTTGTGTGTGTGCATTCACATAATTATGAAATTGTTGGAAGAAAACCCCAAATTCACAGGCTTTGGTTCCTTTCTCAGAACTCCCAGTATTTTTATATGCCTGGAACACCACTTACAAGAAGTGTGACTATAAAGTCCCACTGGCCAGAAGCCAATTTGGAGTGTCACAATTTTTGCTGGGAAAATGATTCTGGCATTAAATTTATAAAGAATGAGTCTACTGAGAGCCAGACACAAACATCTGGGAATTTGAGTCCTATTGCTGGCATTCTGTGTGCTTCCCATGAAACATTCCTTTACCTTCTACACACCCCAAAATGAATCACTTGATGTTTCTGTGTCAAAAAACCAAAGACCACAAAATTAACAATTTGATATATACACGTATGTGTGTGTTGTGGACTATGTGACTTTGTGTTGGGAGGAGTATATATAAGTGTGTGCATTGGTATATGTGTGTGTGTGTGTATTTAATGTCTCTGTGTTCCTAATTAAAAAGTTAAAATGTGAGCTCCTTCACAGGATAGCCAAATCTAAGACAGTCAAGTCCAGACTAATTCAGCTGGGAAGAAGACCTAAACTTTGAAAATGTAACAGTAAATTTATATTACTAAACAGAGTAAAAATATATCTTCCCTGCCCCAACTCTCACAATACAATGTGGTATGCTACCTGGAAAATATAATAATTATTTTAACTCTTAAAGTTCTTTTGCAACTTTTAATGTAAATTTAAGTCTAAAATATAAAATATACTTTGAAACTCTAAAGGACTTCCCAAAAGATATCTTTATGATTTATCCTAACAGGAGCTACATGAAGGCATTTTAAGTCAAGACAGAATCCTGCTTGCCCCAGGAGAAGGTTGCATCAGCAATGTGTAGTCTGAGTCCAGCTCTGTCATGGATCACAGTCCCTGTGTTTCCTGAGAAATGACTTGCCTTCCAACAAGAAGTGAGGATCAAGAGAAGGAGATAGATAAGCAATATCTTGAGGTATTTACAATGTCATTTCATTATTTTGTTCGCTGTTCTATGACTTTCCAGAAATCTAGATGTCCCCCTTCAGATAAAATAACCTAAAACCTTTGCAGAGCTAACTGGAATTAACTCAAGGATTATAAAAAGCATGGTTCAATGCTACTAGGACAGGTCATTTTGAGTTCAATATACTTAATTATACTATGAATGAGAAAGCCTCCAACCATGACCAGCATTGCTTACCCTTGGCCTATTCGGAAGTAGCCAGGTGGACAGGCACACAGGTAGCCGCCCTCAGTATTGGAACAGCCATAACTGCAGGGGGCCTGAGCAGAGCCACATTCGTTGATGTCTTGGCAACCTCCACTGAACTGTTCGTATTGGAAGCCGGCAGGACACATGCACTTGTAGCTCCCCAGGGTGTTGTGACAGGAGGCTCCTCCACAGATGTGAGCACTGAGGCATTCATTTTCATCTGCAAGGAAAACCAGAAGACACCACATATGTGATATTGGGCAGAGGTTTCTATGGAGGAGGCTGGGTCAGGCCACTCTGACCCTGTGCTGGCCAGCGGGCCCTCACCATGGCTCTTGGGAAGGGAAGGCAGGCGGAAGTGACTGAGGTGGGAAAAAGAATAAGAGAGAAAGATGTGGAGACAGATGTGGCCTCTCACCATATGGTGAGCAAACGTGGTCTCCGAGGTCAAGTGCACCACGCAGTGTGTTGGAGGATGGCATTCTGAGGACCAGCAGACTCCAGTCCTCATCTGAAGCCGATGGCAGTGTGTTCTGCTCTACAGGAGCATCCGGTGAAGAATGCAGGGGTGGTTCACAGCCAAGGTTCAGGGGTCAGGGTGAGAGGGCAGGGAGCTGTTCTCTCTACCTTTGCTTCAGAAGTACCCAGCAACGGGATGACTATCTGTACAGCAAAGATGAGCCATATTCCTGGAGGCTGCTTTCCTACTCCTCCTTTTTCAGCATGAATAGGGCTGGCAAGGGCTGACATCCTGCAGGAAGTGGCCCGCCTGCCTGGACTTCCTTTTCAAAAGTCTATAAAAGCCCGCAGGTGCTTGCTCAGGGGATGAATGGTGCCTTCTGGTATGTCTGCTCCCATCTCTGAATGGACCTCCTTATCTAAACCATCCTCCTGCCCAGAGCATCTGGGCTGTGTCTAAAGCTAAGTACAGTTGGAAGAGATTCAGTGCAGACTTCATGGACACTAACTGGGGAAAACCCACAAGAGACACAGATGCTGTGGAATGGGCTACCCACAGGGACCAGCCAAGTCTGATGGTAATACATAGGAAAAAGAACTCTAACTTTCACAAATTAATTCAAAGGGAAAAAACCCTCAAATTTCTTATTATCTCTGATTTATACTTTTTTGAAACTTCCAGTATATTTTTATAGATCTGCCATTGTAGGGCAGCACAGAAGTTTGCTGGTAAGACATTTCTTAACTGCTATAGCCCATTTTCAGGCTTATGTCCACTTGAATGCATGTAGATTGACCTTCTCCTCACTTAGCAAATATCTATTTCCAATGGAAAAGAGGAGGAAGGCAATTTAGTAACACTTAACACTTAATGGTGCCTACTGTGTGATAGGATACTAGGTTGTTGTTCAGTCACTAAGTCGTGTCCAACTCTTTGTGACCCCATGAACTGCAGCATGCCAGGGTTCCCTATCCTTCACTATCTCCTGTAGTTTGCTCACTCTCATGTCCATTGAGTCAGTGATGCCATCCAACCATATCATCTGTCACCCTCTTCTCCTCCCGCCTTCAATCTTTCCCAGAGTCAGAGTCTTTTCCAGTAAGTCAGCTCTTTACATCAGGTAGCCAAAATATTGGAGCTTCAGCTTCAACCTCAGACCTTCCAATGAATATTCAGGGTTGATTTTCTTTAGGATGGACTGGCTTGATCTCCGTGCAGTCCAAGGGACTCCCAAGAGTCTTCTCCAGCACCATGGTTCGAAAGCATCAATTCTTCAGAGCTCAGCCTTCTTTATGGTCCAACTCTCACATTGTGTACATGACTACTGGGAAAACCATAGCTTTGACTATGCGGACCTTTGTTGGCAAAGTGATGTCTCTGTTTCTTAATATGCTATCTAGGTTTGTCATAGCTTTTCTTCCAAGGAGCAATTGTCTTTTAACTAGGTACTTCATTTGCTTAATGTGCTTCACAGTCATGGAGGTAGGTATTAAAATCCTTATTTCCCAGATGAAGAAAGTGAGACTCAGAAAGCCCCTCCAAGATCTCCCAGCAGCAGGGCAGATATGCACATCCAGGTCTGTCTGACTATAAGTCTTATGCTTTTCTTTATATCAAAGTATCTCTCAAGAGATTTGCCCTCATTTACATTGTTCCTTTCTCTTTTAGTTTTTCCTTATTTGCTAAGATAGTTTCATTTTTCAAGAAAAAATTGTTTCTTAAAAAAAAAAAAAAACTTTTTTTAAAAATTAGGAAAACAAGTGGGTAAAATGGTAAGAGTGCGTATATATATATATACACACTTCATATTGCCTTCCACTCTTTCTTTTTCTCTTCCTTCTCTTCATCTCCCTTCCTTCCTCAAACTCCCCCTGCTTACCTGTATGTGGTTACAGAGAGAAGGAGTAGATATACAGTAAGAAAGCCATTGGGTGAGATGCCTGTTATGGCACAGTACCTAACTATGCATCTGTTTGATACCCTTTCTATCAAAGGACTCAAGTACCCAACCAAGGTCACTTAGGTTCCAGGGTTCCTAAAACAAAATGATTTAATATGCCATCATCTGTGTTCTCCTCCCCTTATTTTAAATTAGAGATGAGCTATGTGATAGAAACCAATGGAGACCATGGGCATCAAAAGATGAACGAAGAGCCAAGGGTGGTTCCTTTGGTGAAAGAAGTATCTCTGGGCTGGATGTCTTCTCTGTGCCCTGCATACCCACCTTCAGACCTCTCAGCTGTGCTCAGCTCTACAAGGCCAATCAGAATGGAACATCAATAGGCTCTTCTTCCGTATCCTATGCTTTTTGATTGGGCTCAGCCCTCTGTTACTTGCTGGGACTCTGACTGATAAATCCTCTAAGGTACAGGTATGTGTGGGAAAGACCTGTTAATATAGAGCTTAAGATTTACTCTCTTTTGTTCCAAGGGACAGAAACAGGACCAATGGTTAGGAGTCAGAGGAAGAAAAGGTTCATTCTTTATGAAAAACCCTCTCCTCCCCTGGTTGGAGAGGGATTGACATGTTAGGAAACAGATCAGATGAGATCACTGTCAAGGTTCTTTCTAACTTGGAGTATCTATTTTTTAATTTGGAGTATCTATTTTGGTCAAGAACTCTCCCTATCCCCTTTTCAAATTCTTTTCTACTTTATTTTACTTTATTTTTCCTCCTTGAAAATCTAATAAGCTTAAATTAAACTTGCTTTTCTGGGTTGGAGAGGTGGGGTGGAGTGGACCATGGATTAAGATAAGAAATTGGCAAATGTTCAGTGTTTGAAGCTTGAAAACAATCTGTTTGTGCACTCACCCTTTCTATCAATATACAAATACCATGATTTGTTTGACTTGTTTTGCACTTTTCCTGACCTTTTTCATCCTGTGTATACCCAGGAGCAAATGGCTCCACGAGGAATTTTTCTACACTACAAAATCTTTGTTTTATTCTTTCAGTTGTTACTTAAATTGGTAAGAGTTTTGCTCTTTTTATAAAAAGAGATGATTCTAATTTGAATGAAATAGCATTAGAATCTCTGAAAGATAATCCTTAAAAATCAGATGGAAACCTACCCCCACTGTCCTCTAAACTCAGAGGTTCCAGCATCAGGCTTGCCCAGTGTGTCTTAGCTGTGGTGTTAAGAGAGAATTCCAAAATGTAGAATGGGCTTTCCTTTACTAATTTTCTCTAGGTCAAAATGGGTCAGCTCCAAGTTTGATATTTTCTAGAAAGCAGTGATATCAGTGGTCCCATACCCTAAACCTATCCATCTTCTAAAAGTGAGCTTCTGGCTGCTTAGAAGCAAGGATCCAGAGAGGGCTGGTCTGAGAGATTTGCTCTGCAAGGCTCTGAGGAGATCATTCTGGTCCAAGGCAATGCTCATTCTGGATAACTATAATTCCCAAGAATTATGAGAACAGTTTGAATTGGTATCTTCTGGGCATCAAAACTCCCAAACCTCTTCCTACGTTTTTTTAAACTAAACTTTAGTTGATTTATAATATTGTGTTAGTTTCAAGTGTACAGCAAAGTGACTCACCTACATAGGTCCATCCTTCTTGCTGCAAATGGCAGTATTTCATTTTTTTTTTTTGGCTAATATTCCATTGTGTTTGCATATGCACACATCTTTTTAAACCAGTTATCTGTTGGCACTTGAGTTGTTTGTAAAAATCCTGCTATGAACATTGAGGTGCATATATCTTTTCAAATTAGAGTTTACATCCTTTCAGGATATACACCCAGCAGTGGGATTGCTGGATCATATGGTAGCTTTATTTTTTAGTTTTTTTTTTTCAAATAGCCTCCATACTGCTCTCCATAATGACTATACCAATTTACATTCCCACCAACAGCGTAGGAGGGTTCCCTTTTCTCCACACCCTCTTCATATGTAAATCTTTTGATGATAAGACTTATTTGAAGGTAGTAGACTTTTTGATGATGGTCATTCTGACCATGTGAGGTGATATCTCATTGTGGTTTTGATTTGTATTTATTTAATAATTAGCAGTAGTGAGCATCTTTTCATGTGCTGGTTGGCCATGTCAGAGAAAAGACTATCTAGGTCTTCTGCCCACATTTTCATTAGATGGTTTATTTCTTTGGTACTGAATTGTAGGAGCTATTTATATATTTTGTAATATTAACCCTTTGTCAGTTGCATCATTTGCAAATATTTTCTCCCATTCCATAGGCTGTCTTTTGTATTGTTGATGGTTTTCTTTGCTATAAAAAAGCTTTTAAGTTTGATTTGGTCTCATTTGTTTACTTTTGCTTTTATTTCTTTTGCCTTGGGAGA